ACTCATAAGAAATATCGCATTATTTATCATTTTCGAGCTCTCTATTGGACCGACCAATTTAGTCAGGTGAATCTTGTAATGCAAAAAGTAATTGGCTTGTGTCGTGAAACTCCACACGTTCTGTTCAACCAACAAACAAGTTTAAGTTTAGTTCGGTTTTGTGTGAAAAGAGCATTTCAACTTAATGTTTTTACTAGAAGGTAAAAGGAATAATGTTTAGAGGTCGTTGGTTCGAGTGACGCTTGGGAAGAAACTAATAGTACATGTTGTGGTTTCGGACATGGGGGAATTACGGGTTTGGTCCAGAACCTCTTGGTATTCAAAAAAAAGAAGGAAAATGTTAAGACTTACTGATATATTAGCTGTGAGATCGTCATAGCCAGAACCAGCAGAGGCGAAACTTGCACCGCGAGTTAGATCAGTTTGGGTTAGGGTTGGATCAAGAAAAGCCGGTATGGGAGGGTAACCCATGGCCTCCGCTGAAAAAAAAAATATATGTAAAATAAATTCTTCAATTCACATATTGAAAATTTCTGACTAATATAAATACTATAGTGTAAAACTTACCAATATAATCGGGAGCGAGTAATCCATCGCATAATCTACCGGTGGGTTTATGGTTGATGAAATTTTCACCATAAGGTGGAAAGTTTCCTTTCATTTCGGTTTTAATGAAATTATTGTTTCCTGGATCGACACTAGAATCTCCAAACACAAGTATTGATGTCACATTGTGCTTCGCGGCTAGCTGCCGAAGAAGGTGAACGTCCAAAGCCACCACTGAAGTTGGTGGCTGCAAAGCTACTGCTACCAAAAGAGTCACAAATGCAACAAGCAACATGTTACTAGATAGAGAGAATGTGAGGTTTTTTTATATTATGTAGAAAGTGTCGTTTGAGAGAATGTAAATGTCATATGGTTTGTGTTGAGAATGTTGTTGTATATATAGAGTGTTTTTTTTTTTTCTGACAGCTTGGCGTTCTGTTGTTGGTTGAGACATAATGAAAAGTGGCCAACAGAGAAATTCAATTTGCATAGTTATTTATTTTTTGTTGATAGATCATATCTTCATGATTTTCTTGTCTCTGCAAATCTATTTATGATATCTTTCATAAATATGGGATTTATATTCGTTAAATAGGAGTAGTACAATTTTGGCTTTAAATCCGTACTTCTCTCTTCATATTTGAATCCGAACATATATAGTATAGTAATAATGTAACAAAATTCAGCTAAAAGATATATAAATGAAATCATATACTCCCTATGTATCATAAAGAATGATTTTTTGAGGTTTTATTTTTGTATCAAAAATATTGATTTTCTGTATATTTTTATCAATTAATGTTAATAAATTGTGAATTTCAAGAACCATTAATTGAGAAGTTTAAAATTTGATAAATTACTACTCCCTCCGTTTTAGTTTAGTTGTCGTTTTAGGATTTAAATTTTGTTTCATAATAGTTGTCGTTTTAGGTTTTCAAAACAAATGTTTGGTGAAAATTCCAGTTTTATCCCTACTGTTTTAATGTTTTGGCCAATGAAATTTTATAAAATATATTAATAAAGGGTAAAACAGAAAATTTAATGCTTTTCTTAATCTGTGTGAAAAAACCTTATTCGACAACTAAAACGAAACGGAGGGAGTATTGGTTAATAGCTATGAAAAATAGATTAGTATGAATAAATAGTGCATTTATAACTAACATTAAATGTTTTTCTTAATTGGTGTGAAAACTCTATAACAATCATTTGCACGGAATGGATGAATTGTAGCTTCTCAACCAAATTTCATACTAACCTCCCAAATTTAGAAAGTCAGATATAAGTTACTGTCACCGTCTTTACTAATAAAGTGAAAGTAAATCACCGAGCTACAACTTTTGCTAAAAGAATAGAATTTCATAGAATGTTAAAACATTAAGCAATCAAATATTCTCTGTTCTAAATTGATTTTATTTTTGGGGATTGTATCCATATCCAACTTATCTATCATTTAAGTGTCGTGTTCATTGCGGTGGAGTAATTAACGCAGCCATTTTTGGCCATGACGGGAATAAAGATTACATAAATAATGTCTTAAACTGGTAACAAGCTCTTTTATTCTCTCGGTCTTAACGTTCACTAATTAACAGACTTATACTATCAAATACTATACATCATATTTAAGATCCTTGCCAAATGTTTATTGGATAGAGACCAAGAAGTAATACGTCGGTGTCTAACATGTACACTAGAGGCTAATTTGTTAATAGGTGTCCACCACATCATTTATGGCTTTTTTTTTTTTTTTTTTTTTTTTTTTGTGAAACCATTTTTGGCTAATTTGTTAAATATCAATTTGAGAACTCAGAAGTCAGATCATTCTTCCTTTTAAGTCAATTTGGTAGATATTTATGTAATCATTTTGAGATAGTTAAATTTTTTTTGAGATAGTTAAATAAGTATATGAAAAAGCATTGTTTGCAACAAAAAAATAACATGTAATTGGAGTGCTATTTATTTGAAGAGTATGCCATTGTACACCTAGTTTGTTATTTGGTGCTGTTTTATATAAAAACATTATATTTAAGGAAATACCATTGGGCAAAAAGAAGAGGACTATCATTCTTTTGTATTTCTTAAGAAAATAAGACTGTTTTTTTAATAAGAATGTTCCATAAGCATTTACCTAATTTTTTGTTAAAGGATTTAATCATTTAAACCTAATTTATTCAATGTTGATGGTCGTTTATTAGTTCAATTGTCCTTTATATGTGAACAATATGGTGATATAAATTTTACCTATATAGAAACGAACTATTGTTCATTGTATTCGACAAACAATCGATTTCGAAAAAAGAATTAGAATTGAATAATTTCTACCTTTCATTTTTTATACAATTGTTTCTTCTATCTTCTTCAATATTAATTACTCCTCTTAGATTTTTTTCAAATATTATGTTACAGCCATAAACATTTTAGCCTTGTTTTCTCTCTTTTCGTAGTTGATATATATATATATTTTTTAATTTTAAGAGTTTAAACATGTTCATCAGATAGCTAATTCATCATGCAAGTAATATAGTATAATACTATAATGAGTGATTAAACCAGAATATTAAAACAAACATTTAAAAAAAAAAAAGGATGTTGACGTTGGCTTTGACGGTGTCTTAGTGACAAGAAAGTTTCCAAATAGTTTTAGGTCACCAAAATGTGTTGGAACATACAGTTAGAGAATGGTCATATATCCTTTGCCGGAGTATTAATTAGGGTCCCCAATAATTATCATTGTCTTTATTTTTCAACTATTAATGTATGTCTATATATTAAGTGAAGTTTCGGTTCAAAATTGGATATCATTTCTTATTCTTTAAATACTTGAGAAAGAAAAATGTGACAGATTCAAAAGAAAATATTTGTGGACTAAAAAAATGCCAGAAAAATATTTATCTAAATGTACTATCAAACAATATAGTTTTGTTTGTTCGATTTAATCTGGTACCCAAATCTCTGTGTTATTCTAGAATCCAGTTCATTGTGTATTAATATAGAATTTATGAGTCCATTATTATGATAAATCCCAAAGCTTTAGTAGACAATTCTATGATGAATCAAGAATTAATATTTTCAAGAATCATGGAATATTAAAACAAAAAACAAGATGCGTAAGAAAATATAGGTGACATTGATTGCTATATAACTTTAAATAGAGAGAGTAGAATGATTTGTAAGATTAGGTGGTTGTGTGACCTATATTTATTAGACACATCACCCACTTTTCTATATCTCTTGCTCTCTCTCACGATCGACTGTTATTCACTCGTATAATTGTAACACTACCCGAATTGAATTATTGTAGATAAGAAAACAGATCTACTCTCTCTTTTTAATCATTGTAAATCAGTAGAATAATAGTCTTTTATTAGAAAAAAAATCAATAGAGAAATATATTTTCTTTTTATTATATGTACAGAGAATATCTAAATATTAAAACATTCATCAAGATCCAAGATAATTATATAATTAACTGGAATGAATTTGGTAATTGACAATAAAAACATTGGGTAAAGAATAGTAAGCAAAAACTAAATAAGTAAATGAAAATAAAGTAAAACTGATTTTTTTGCATAATTCTAATTTTGTCGTTCATTAACTGTATGTTATGAAATAATTTTCTTTTTTGTAACATGTTATTTTTTATGTAGAGTTGTAATCAATCCTAAATTATTCTTCTCTTTTTGTAGTACACAAAAACATAACATGTGATAGCTAAAAATAAGAGATAAGCATAAGGAGATGTAAACTCAATCATTTAGACAAAACACTTAAGAAAAAAAGCTAGGTAGAAGAGGCTAAAATACTAAATCATCTTAGAAGAGAAAGAAAAGAAAAGAAAAAGATGCAAGAAAAAAAAACAAATCAAGCCACACTAAATCATCTTATTCATGATTGAGCTATTGGTTTGGTTCGGTTTGAAACCAATCTGAACCGTTTGGGTTAAAGATAGGTTAATCAAATGATTTGAACATAGATTTTCCTAACCGTTTGGGTTGAAGATAGGTTAATCACTTATATTCTTTTTAACTCTCTTTTAAAAAAGAGAGATAGGTTAATCAAATGATCTGTACATAGATTTTTAGTTCGTTTTGTTTGGATTCAATTGGTTAAAATCGGTCGAGATGTACACTTTTACCATCAATTTTAGTATTTTACGGTCTCGTTTTTTTTAAAACTAATGTTTAGTAAAAGTTTAAAAGATAAGTAAAAATAAAGTAAAAAATTGTTTTTAACACTATAAAAATCGTTGATGAGTAGAATATTAAATTTTTAGATAAATTAAATTCTAGAAATTTTTTTGATGAATAATGATCTTAAATTCTTAAATATAGTAATTTAGTAAAAATGAATCACATAGTCCAATTTAAAATGATAATGGGCTATTGTTGTCCATATGATCTACTAAATATTTGTTGTCCACTCTAACGAATCTGTTTCTTCTTTCGTTGTAACTTGTAAATGAAGATCTGGATCTGTTACCAAAACAGTCTCTCTTTATTCAGAGATCTGAAGAAGAAGAAGAAACATAGTTTCAAGTCATCAAGTGTTTTAGTCTCTCTGTTAATATGTCTTCAACAACAACAACAGATTCTACAGAATTGCAAAATCTGATCAAACTGTTTCAAAATTACAAAACTCACCTTCGTCAACATTTTCCTCCAAAATCTTCAGCTGTCTTAGTTTGTCTATACCAAGAACAAAGAGAAGAAAACAACGAGCTACGCGTAATCTTAACCAAACGCTCCTCTACTCTCTCTTCTCATCCTGGTAAAATCAAAATCTCTCTCAAGACATTTTCATATAATAAAGTTTTCATCTTTGGATCAGAAACAGAGGAAATTGTTAAAAACAGGGGAAGTAGCATTGCCTGGAGGAAAAAGAGACGCGGAAGATAAAGATGATATAGCTACCGCGTTGAGAGAAGCTCGTGAAGAAATCGGTTTAGATCCTTCTCTTGTTACAGTCATTTCTGTTCTTGAACCATTTGTTAACAAGGTAATCAATATTGCATCAAAACATCTGAATTCAAGTTGCTAGATTGGTTATCTTTTGTTTTATCGGGGTTTCGGTTATTGCAGAAGGGAATGTCTGTTGTACCAGTTATCGGTTTTTTACTCGATAAGAAAGCGTTTAAACCGTTACCAAATCCAGCTGAAGTGGAAGAAATCTTCGATGTTCCGTTGGAGATGTTCCTCAAGGTTCTTGAACTGGAAAATCCCCTGTTTCCGTTAAACTCCATTGCCCAAATCTTAATCTTTAATGGCTTCCTCTGTCGGGTTTTATGCAGGACAAGAACAGGCGGGCAGAGGAACGAGAGCATGAAGGAGAGAGATATCTTCTTCAATACTTCGATTACTATTCCGAAGATAAAGAGAGAAACTTTATCATATGGGCACTCACTGCTGGTATTCTGATCAGAGTTGCCTCCATTGTTTATCAGAGATTACCGGAGTTTCAAGAACGTAAGCCAAGATTCTGGAATCAGCCCAGTTGATTCTTAACTTGATCTGATTGAAAAATGAAACTTTCATGTATAATAAGCGATACAAATCGTATCTTCTTAGTGTGTATCACTAAAAGCATATGTTAAATGTGTTTCAAGAATCTATCTTTATTACTCTAACTGAAAACCTCGTAGAACTTCTCGGTAACGAGAATTCCCGAATCCATAGACTCCAATGGATCTTTTCTGAGTCTGTGTCTTAAACAGTTCGGTATAACGATACCAACATCTTCTGCTGTAACTTGATCTCTTCCTTGGAGTGCCGCGAGTGCTCTAGCCGCTCTGTTTATCACCATGTCTCCTCTCAATCCGTCAACGTCCAGCTCAGCACAGACCTTAGAGATCTTCACTTTCAAATCTTGATCGATCTGAACTGCAGAAAGATTGCTTCTTGCAGTTGTAATCTGCTCCTGAAGCTTCAGTTGTTCTGCTTGATAAGATTCTCGAAACTCCTTTGGGTTACTATCAAAACGAGCTCGTTCTTCAACAATCTTGACTCTTAGCTCGGCGTCTCTAACTGTCCCTACTTGCGCGTGCATACCAAACCTGTCAAGAAGCTGTGGTCTAAGCTCTCCCTCTTCAGGATTTCCTGAACCAATTAGGATAAACCGAGCAGGGTGAGAAATCGAAATCCCTTCTCTTTCAACAGTGTTCCAACCCGATGCAGCAGAATCAAGAAGAACATCAACTAAATGATCATCCAAGAGATTAACTTCATCAACATAAAGAATCCCTCTATTGGCTTTAGCTAGTAGTCCAGGCTCAAACGCCTTAACACCTTCAGTTAAAGCTTTTTCGATATCAATAGTTCCGCAAACTCTATCTTCCGTAGCACCTAAAGGAAGATCAACCATATTGATTTTGGTTTCAATAACCGGCAATTGTTCTCCCTTTTGAACTTTCTCTCTTACTTCCTTTCCCATACACTCAGGATCTCTCGGGTCTGAGTTATACGGATCACCAGCAACAACCGTGATCTCAGGAAGCAAATCAACTAAAGATCTAACAGTTGTTGATTTACCAGTTCCTCTATCTCCCATTATCATCACACCGCCAATCTTCGGGTCAATCACATTTAACAATAGGCATAGCTTCATCTCATCTTGTCCAACAATAGCAGCAAATGGATAAACCGGTCTTGCACTTTCCTTTGTATCAATCTTCTTTGCCTAATACCAAAAGAACCCAACATTGTAAATCTTTTATACTAACCAATAAAAAAACTCTGACTTTAGGTCATAAATCATTCCAAGATTCAAGCTTTTTAATCAATTCCATGAACATAATGTTAAAAGACTCATACTTGTTCAACAGAGTTGATCTCTGTAGCGACATTCATAACAGAAACATGGTAACGAGATCTGTTCTTCTTTGGATTGAATTGGATTCTTCCACAAATTTTCCCTGCAAAAACAAACAACACACCCATTTTCTGTGAAATGTCAACATGTGTATGAGCAGATAAAAATGGGTACTTTTGAGGTTTTATAAAGAGAAGATTTTTAGGGTAAAAGAGTTTCGAACCTGGTCCGAAGCAGGCATGGGAGATAGAAGATGTTGAGGAAGGAGAAGAAAGACGAGGGCAAGTGAAGATTGAAGAAGGAGATGCTCCGAGAATAGACGCCATTGTTAGTGAGTGAGAGCTCTCTCTATAGATTTCTGATTTCGTCTCTTTCTCTTTGAGAATCATATATATGAAAAGAGTCTATCTGTCTCCATATGATCGCCACGTCAGCATTTTAGGCTCTTCTGGAGATGTCACATCAGCTTTTTTTCCATCCAATCAAAACATTTCATTAATATGAGTCAGCTTTTATTTTTAACACATCAGCTTCTAATTATAAATGTCAAATGGGAAAAACACAATAGCCCATGAGAGATGACCCATATCAATTTGAAAATCTATTTCACAAGTTAATAATATATTATTATTTAATTATATATATTATTTAATTTTACATATTGATTTTTACTAATACTAACTTATTTTGTTTTTTTATGTCTTTTTCCATGAAATTATTTTATTGGTTTTATATACTCCAAAGTTTTTTTCGCTAATTTTTGTAATCTTAACTCAAAATATGAGTGGATAATAGTATAGTGGATTAGCTAATGGTTTGAGTAAGTTTTTCTCTTAATTTTTTTATCTATATATGACACTGAGGGTGAAGAGTACGTAAGGTCATCAAATTTTGGAGGTTCTATAATCCCAACATTACCATCTACAAAATTGGTTTAGGAAAGATTGTTTACGGATTGTGTGAGTGATGCATTGTTGAGTATGTTGGTTGAAAATGTATTTTAATACTAAGAGTAGTTGTTCATTGTATGAGTAAATGATTAGATAATTAAAAATTACATTTATCAAAATATAACATCAAATAAATCAAATAAAAAAAACCGGAAAAAACCGCGGCGTAAAGCGGGTGATTAACTAGCAACAAGAACAATCAAAATAATTTGTTATTAACAACTTTTAAAACAAACTCACGCTTCATGTAGTTCGTTTAATGTTGGATAAGGAGATAGAGAGAGGATCTTAGATTTTCCCTCTTTTACTCAATTTAGTTTAATTAGTATTAATTAAACATTGTATTATATTACGGGAATTTTGTAATATAATGGGCTCGTACTTACTTAGGCCCATTATAGTTTGGTTTTCGCTTTTCCGTTTGGTTTGGATTTGGATAAAAATCCTTGTTTCGACGGTCACTTCTCATAGTTCTTGTTCAACGGTAAAAACATTTGAATGAATTAGCCGTTGTGTTTAAACGGTAACATTTTATTTTGTTTGTTAATAATTAACGGTAACTTTTAAACGGCTAAATTTCTGAGTTTTCTCTATATATACATCATCATCATCAGTGTTAAAACCCAAACAACTACTAGAAAAATCATTCCAATTCAAAAATCTCTGTATTTCTTTTTTTTAATCTTCATTACAAATCAAATCCTCATTCAAAGAAGAAAACTCAAAGTAAGTTTGAAATCTAAATCTCTTTTTTTTTTTTTTAATTCTCTGCGTTATATTTTTCTGGATTTCTATATGATTTTATTTTACTGATCTGATTCATTGTTCGGTTACAGTCACAGATTTTGGGTAGCCAAATTCTGGAAAAATGAGGAAGCTTTTCTAACGGAGGGAGAAACAAACGGTGGAGAAAAAAAGTTAGAGACTTTAGAATTTTCCGAGTAAGTTTATACATTAAATTCGAATTTGATATTTGAATTTGATATTTAATTAATTAGGGTATTATGTGTTCTTAAGAAGTCAAAACTAATTAATAGTATTGCTAAAAACTACAGTTTTGGGTTGCTCTCTGATTTTTTCCAATCGCCGGAACATTTGTGGAGGCTGTTTGAAAAAGGTTGGAGACTTTTGGAAAGTTCATGATCAACTTAAAACGGTAAAGGCACAAACTTTATATCATCAAGTAAGTTTTAAATATAAATTCGAATTATTTGCTATGTTTCTTTCTCGTAATCTGATTTGTAATTTGAAACCTCAAGTAGTATGTTTAATTTTAAACCTGAAATGAGATATGAATAAACAATTTTTAAGTAGTTTGATGTGTTCTAGAAAAATAGAGGTATGTTTTTTTGTTAAGACTGTGAAAATACACCAAACATATCTTTTACTGTAAAAATCACCTTTGTACAACGCCATTGTCTTGAAAACAAGTTTTCTTGCAACAAAAACAAAACTTACAAGCTTATTATTAAATCAATTGTGTTACAAAGTTATTACTATTATTTAAAAAATTTCCCAATTCAGACTATGATTTCGATAATAATAACATGCTTTTAACGGACGAATATATTATTCTGATGATGTGTTATATTTTGAATCCTTTAAACATTTATAATTGGTTTTTTTTATTTTTTATATATCATAATATAATGAAGATATAAAAGAAAGTGTTTGTTCGAAGGTGTAGAGCGATGGAGCAAGAAAAACTCAATCAGTTGAGTCAGCATGAAGGTGTTCCAGATGGTTACCAACTAACACGAGCGGAAACAGCTGAAAAATTATTACGCTCAGTAAGTATTATTAATAAGCAAAATTGTTTTCCCACATAGTATCTATTATGTTTTTAATTTACTTACAATATAAGTTTATATAATTTTAGGAAGCGGAAACCAAGAAGGGAAGAAGATTTGGAGTGGGCCAAAGTTCAAACATGCAATCGTACGAGGAAAAATATCGAAAAACACAAACATATCATTCTGAGATCAGTGAAGAGATTAAGGACTTAAAACGGCAATTCGAAGATGTCGTGTTTTGGTGTACTGTAATGGAACAACTTCATCCAAATTTGGTTCCACCGTCTCGCAGAAAACCAACCCAACAGCACCAACAACCGCGCTAATATGTTTTTGATTTATGATTTAGATTGTTTTTAAACGGGAAAATGTCGAAAAATGCGTGAACTTTCAAATTTGGGACGTAAAAAGCACTTTCGAAATGTCATTTAAATCCAAAAGTGGTTTGAGTTCGTAATAAAATGGCTAAGTTTCGTTGACTTGGTCATTTTAGACATACCGTGAAATTTCCGTTAACAGAAAAATAACAGACTGCTGATCTTTACATCTCATATCTAGCCTTCAACCATTGAGCCACGGTAAACTTTGTAGATAGCCTTACACGTAATTGATTGAAAATAACACCTAAAAAACCTCCATTGTTACCTGAGAAGTAAACGGCGTGAGCAGATCCAACACCAAAGCTAATCAAACCTAAATCCTCAGTAATTTGAATTTTTCTTTAGAACAAATTCAGATCTAGAAAATATCTACACCAATAACTCTGAATCAGATGTAATCAAGAGTTCCCAATACTTGAAATTGATAAACATTAAACGGATCTCCAATTGTATAATCGATTTTGAATCTGAGATCGTTACTTTTCCCAAACAAACCATCATTGGACATAGACGAGCCACAAGATCTCAACCTCAAGCTCATGTTTGACGAGATTCCGTCGTCACACCACCTGCTCACGCCGTTTTCTTCTCAGACAACAATGGAGGTTTATTAGTTTCAATTAATTACGTGTATGTATATATATATATCTATAAGTTTTATTTAAAATCAAAAGTTTATAGTGGCTCAGAGTTTCAAGGTATGATAGGAGATCTAAAAATCAGCAGTTCGACCCTTGGTTATGTCGGTTTTACTTTTCATTTTTATGTTTAAAAACGACGTCGTTTTGAACTATTAACGGAAAGTTAACTCCGTTATTTTGTTGTTACCGGAAATTTCACGGCATGCCTAAAATGGCCAAGTCAACGAAACTTAGTCTTTTTATTATGAAGTCAAACCAAACTTTGGGATTTAAATGACGTTTCGAAAGTTCATGCTTTTTCATCCCAAATTTGAAAGTTCGCGCTTTTTTCGACATTTTTTCCGTTTTTAAACTGTGAGTTGGTTTTTATTTTTAAAATTATTGAACTTTTTTATTTTGTTGAACTCTTTTATTGTTATAAGTTTTATGAATATATTTAGTTATATTTAATGCTAATTAAAAAGTAATTGATTTCAAATAGTTATTTTTTTTAAAATATATGATTGTCGGAAATTTACTACACAAAGTGTTTTAAATTAGAAGTTTCCCAGGTGAAAAAGTTGTTGAATAGCTGCTCAAGCCTGTCTCTCTTTGTGGTGTTTTTTGGGATTTGGGTTTCAATTTCGTTAATGCAAGACATGTTTTTTTTTAAAGTTCTTTAGTTATTTTTCACGAAATTCGAATGTTACTTTAGACGAGTTATTTTTACGGTTTTAATAAGATTGGTTCTTGAATAAGGTGAATGTGAATTTGTTTAAGGATAGAAGGATGAATATGGAATAGTGTCTTATAGGAAAAGTGGCACGCCTTCTCGGTAATATGGGAGAGGGGCGTCACAAATTGGTATCAGAGACATCGTTTGATTTTGTTTGAAAACAACTGGAAAATTTACGATACAAAGTGTTTTAAATTAGAAGGTTCCAACCACTTTGCTTCTCGGATACTTTTGTCGTAACAGCGTTGGAAATCTTCCAGTGGATTTTCATTCGACTACATTTTGTTAGTCAGAATTTTCTAAAAAAATTCCGACGAGAGACCAGCGTTTCCTAATGATTTTTAGGTTTTGTCTAAAATTCATCGGAATACCCGTGTTATGACGAATTTTCGTTATAATATGCTAATGTTTTCTTGTAGTGTTTATATGGAATTTATATTAATAGATGCTTTATTTTTATGAACACAATTTTAGTAAAAATGAAGATACGGATAGGTAACACGAAATTGATGAAGATGATATCAATGAGATAGAAGAAGGCGAAACAACAACAAATTGAGCATATATGGCAACTTCATAACCAGATTGCATATATGTTATGGACTGATCATAGATGAATATCCAAATGATTATCGTAAGGCAAGAATAAGTTTTTAACATTTTGGCAATTTTATAATTTTATTATATTAATATTTCACATTATGAATAAAATGATGAGTTATTCTTCCATATTTATCCTTTAATATAAATTTAATTTTAATTTTGGGATAATTGGAAAAAAAGGATATCTACTTAAAAAATTGTCCATATATCCCCTTTTCTTGTAGATTGGTCAAATAGGTTTTTTAAAAATCAAAACCCAACTTTACCCTCATATTCTCTCAAAATTAATTCAAAATTAATTTAAAAATAAAACTTCCTAATCTATTTACAAAAATTAAATAGAAATCTAAAAGGGATAATGTTGTTCGAATGTTCAATATTCTTAGATATCAATTTGAGCTTCCGATTTTTTAATTGACCTCTCTCAGGTACAAGATTAATCTCTTCGACAATCTAAACTTTCTCATTCTCGTTTTGACATAATAAACAATCAATTGTTTTGATCGCTAGTATCTCTAAAGAACATTGATTTGTGTAGAATCATATAGGTTGACTTGAACATGATAGTATTCCTCATACTCTATGTGAACAACACGTTGGCACAGTGAAACCAAAGGGCTACTAAAGAGCTAAGGAGACTAGTAAGTAGGATTAAACAAGTGTCCCTCTTCTTGTTAAAGTGGTCTCTACTAAATAGAAAAACTCCTTTCACTTTTTTTTTTTGATTATGATGATGCCTTCTTATTTGATTGATACTTTGGAAATATTTGTCTTATCAAAAATATAAAAAAAAATTGCGGTGGTGTCTTCCATGTGCACACACTTGTTTATCTTTTTTTTTTTTAGTTGAAAGTTAGATGATGATAAGGCACTAAACGTTGAAAAAAAAAAAAAATTCGAAAGAAAAACGCAGGGAGTAGCAAAAAATCGAAAGTGGTGGCTTAGCTTAGGGTTTAGAAACGTTTTTGGGTTTAACTTTTTCTAAAAAACGTAGAAAAGGATTTCTAAATTATGTAGATCGTAAACTAAACAATTAATATCCATTTAAAACGTAATATACAATAAATATTTAGTTTCCTTTTCTGAAGATTTACTTTCTATATTTAGATAATTCTAAAATTTTCAGAAAACAAAATCTATAGTATCGTAGAATTTACATTCTAAAAGAAGATTACAATTTCTGACGATAGTAGAAGATGTAGTAATTAGTAGAACGGCTATTCAAAAAGATTTAGAACATAGAGCAAAGCGTAGAATACATGTTCTAAATATTTTAGATATATGATTTTCTGACTTCTAAAATTTTTAGAACAGAAAACTAGTCTAAAATATGTAGAACATGTACAAAAATGTAGAATACACACTCTGACTTTCGCAGAACTCTAGAAAACGAGTTCTAACAAAATTAGACGAAACTTTATCTATCAAAATATCAACTTTTTTAAAACCAAATCTCAAAAATTTCACTTCAAATTACCTCTACTCTTGTATATCTACCTGTTTTTATGATTATTTTTTAAAAAAAACATTTAAATTAGGGTGTAAGGGTAAAATCGTCCAAACTGACAATCTCACAAAAAAAGTGTATATGGACAAATTTTTAAGTAGATATCCTTTATTTCCAATTTTCCCTTTAATTTTTTTATATAATTTATACTATTCAACCACTCTCTCTTAGTGCCGCCTTTTCAATCTGCTATCTTTTAATTGTTTTCTACAACCGCTGAAATATTTTTTATCCGATTCATCTAAATGTGATCACCAATCATATTCAATATATAGAAGGGGATAGAATAAACAAAAAAAAAGGAATTTAAACTGAGTAAAATGTGTGAATAGTTTGATAAGAGCAGATTATTATATCATTGGATAAATTAATATCGCTAAGGTATTCAAAGATAAAACCAAACTGCATGGTAATGATGTAAAGCATCAAAACTCATCAAATGCTTTGAGAGGATCCTTTGGGTCAACATCTTCTATAAGGGGAAGATCCACAGCTAAGTCCTCAGCTCCAATGCCTTCTTCTTTAAGCTTCTTTGCCACTTCTTCAAACACTACTTTGTTACCAACCCGACTCAAATGTAACCCGTCCCTAAAATTCGAGAAAACACGAAAATAGTTGATCAAACATTAAATAAAATGAAAATGCACCATAGACTAGGTGTGTATATAAGAGTTAGTGTATGACCATAGACATTCTGTTTGCCAATTTGGAATTTGCTGCATTTTGGACCAAAGATCAATGACCGAAATGTGACATTCCTCAGCTACTGCTATACATGCTTTTGCGTATCGTCCGGCTACTTCATTCGTTCTTTCTGGCAATCCCGTTGTGTTTTCGATATAAGGATATCTAAGAATGTCAAGATCAATGTCTTCATTAGATCTAAAGTTTGGTGGTCAAAATGATAAACATTAGAGTCTATGAAATTGAAAAATCCAAGGTTGATTTTGATAAAACAAATTTTGGAATCAAGTAGAGGACTGGTACCTGAGGCGGGCTTCTTCGTCGATCGGAGGCGGGGTTATAAGAATAATGGCCGTTTGTGGCCAGCGATTCTAAAAACCATAACAAAAATCTTTCATTTAATAAAATCAAGAAATTATAAGAATCCATTATTAATGTAGAAAGAAGGATGTATTAAAAAATACTTTCACTAATTGGACAAAGTATATACATTTGGTGCATCTAAAGTTTTACTTTCCCAAAAAGAGATGTATACTATATACATATATATGATCAAAGCTCTGGCCTTTTAGTAAAAAAATACTCCATATTAAATAACTTTATAGATTAACGATTATAACCTATATAATACCATTTGACAAAACGCTAATGATGCAATTTTTAATGTAATTTATACACGCAATATGTTTATTCTCCTCTATTTTATTCTTTTTTTTTGTGCACAATTGATTTATTTTTTCACTACCACGAGGGGTCTAAATTCTGTGTATGTATCAGGATCACAATTCACCACTTTACAAATTCGAAACAAATAAGGAGATTGTAATCATTTTTGGTCAAAGAGGTATACCGTATATCTATGCATATGCATGTCAATATGTGCAATATTTTAATTAGATAATGCAAGAAAATTGGTCACCTCGAAAACAGAACAATGAACGAATACTCTGATTTGTACTCAATATAATAATTATTCAATAAATTTTCATATTTATACTAGTCCTATAATAAATATGCATGTGCAAGATTTAAATGAGATATATAAAAAATGATCACCTTGAGAAACGAAATAATAGAGCGAAGATTCTGCTTGTACTCGTCAAGTGGCACATGCTGAAACCCCGAGCATCTCTCCGGCAGACATGCGTCGTTCGCTCCAAAGAACACAGTCACAGCCGCCGGAGAATCTCGGCCGTCTTCTTCTGCCGCCGGAAAAACTCTCTCCACCACTTTCAACGCCCATCTCGTGTTATATCCACTGTATCCTCTTAGCACCATATCAGCCTAATAAATTTATATAACAAAATCGTTAATAATTCATTAAGACGTACATAATTTTGAATTAACAGAAAAAGTCATATGAAATTATTTTATTAAACATAAGAAACTACACTATATATAAAATTAAAAAAAAAAAAAAGAAACTACACTATAGTAGAAAATAATAATATGATTAGTTTCCTGAAAAATTACTGTATAAAACAAAATATTCTAATCAACAATTGCTCCAATTGATAACACCGTAAAAGTACTCATTTCGCATTTATAAGTTACATGTTTTAGGTTTTTAATTTCTTTATGGATGTTTTCAAATTTCTATTTAAAAATTGTATTTTATCTTCTGGTTTAATGGATGTACAATTTATATAATGAATCTTTAAATTAATAATCTAAATTGACAAAGGCTAGGATTTAGTATATATTACAACTAAATTTAAAAATTGTGTGACTATCCTTAATCATACAATCTAAAGAAAGTAAGAAACTGAGAGATAGTATATAAAATCGTATAAATGGCAAGATGAAAAAACTATTTAACGAACAATACTTTATATTTAAATAATTTTGAAAGAAAGAAAAAAATCGATGTCAAAAAAAAAAAAAAAAATCGTATAATGACTTTTAAAAATGAATAATTATCGTCTTTAAACTGGCGTAAATAGTTTAAATACAGAATCACATACACACACACAAACAACATAACTATGGCATCGAAGAGTATTCAATCAAAAACTATGTAAAATTTTTACTTAATATATACATATGTTTACCTTGCGGCGGAGAAGATCGGCGAGAGAAGCACCCCAGCCACCGTCACTAAAGGATTCTTCAGTGATTGAATCACCAAAGAGAAAAATCTTCTGTCTCATCATCTTCCTCACTCTTTTATTGAGAAAATCTGAGATATAATAAACGGTGTAGTGGTTTTGCTGAAGTGATCGTGTTTGATTTAGTAAAGAAAGGCTTATCTATTTATTATTGGGGGAAATAAAAATATAAATTAAATTTAAGTGGCTGCACTAATAAATGCTTTCAACCACTAGTCACCGACCTTTCATGATTTATTTTGTAATACACTTATGTAAATAACATTTACCAAAACAGTTTTTATGTAAACTTATGTAATCATAAACATATGCTCTGGTTACAATTAAAAGCTTACTATTAATTACTGAAATAAACAGTCACAACGTTACTTCAAAAAATGTGATTTACGTTTTGTAAGATTACTCTCTAGACTCACCACCGTTTTTTTACATTAATGATTCGTTCTTATACAATTTCAGTATAAAACCTATCTCGAAATGTTCATGAATGAAATAACTAAAATAGAAATAAAAATTTAGAAATCAGAAAATGAGAATCAATATGTTATTCATCGTAGCATTCTCCTTTTTAGTCTCCGTTAGGTCATTACCGATGAAACCAACTCTAAACTACGAGTCAATCTTTAATTTCGGCGATTCTTTAAGCGATACCGGAAACTTTTTAATATCCGGTGATGTCGACTCACCGAACATTGGAAGACCACCATACGGACAAACCTTTTTTAACCGTTCCACCGGTCGTTGCTCCGATGGACGTCTCATCATCGATTTCATCGGTTTACTTCTCATTTCTCTCTAATAAACCTATTATCACTTTTATAAGTAGATTATTTACTATGAAAATTTTGGATAACGGTAATTTAGTGGAGCAAAAATAATAATAAAAAGATCAATATTTTCACAAAATGAAACATGTAATGTTTGTGACTAATTGCAGCTGAGGCAAGTGGACTGCCGTACATTCCACCGTATCTCCAAAGCGTGCGGACGAATAATTCGATAGATTTCAAGAAAGGAGCAAATTTTGCGGTGGCTGGAGCAACAGCGAATGAATTTAGCTTCTTTAAAGAAAGAGGTCTTTCAGTAACATTGTTGACAAACAAGACACTGGATATTCAACTTGATTGGTTCAAGAAGTTGAAACCTTCTCTGTGTAAAACCAAGCCAGGTAAAAAAAAAAAAGTAACATAATTCTATTTTGATATTTTATTGATTTTCAATTATTATATTTATTTTGAAACTTCAAAAGTTTAAAACAGAACCTCTAATGATAGTTTTCACATTTATATTTGAATATACTTTTAAAGTTTACGAAAACTATGTAAGAGTTTGTAAAAATATAATATTTGGCAGGAACGCCATAGATTGATAACTATAAATAAATAAATTTAAAAAAAAAAAACAAAACCAAAAGAAGGGTCATAGATTGATATATGTAATATACTTTATGAAAATCCATGGTTTCTATATTGCATAATCTTACTTATTTTATTTTGCAGAATGTGAACAATATTTTAAAAAATCTCTATTTCTCGTCGGAGAAATCGGTGGAAACGATTATAACTACCCTCTCTTGGCATTCCGAAGTTTCAAACATGCTATGGATTTGGTACCATTTGTCATTAACAAAATCATGAACGTCACAAGTGTAAGTAGGAAACGTTTACATTAATTATTATCTTTATAACGTTAATTTGTCCAAATATTCGTTCATTAACCAACGATTTTGGGTTTGGTATAATTTTAAGGCATTGATAGAGGAAGGTGCGGTGACACTGATGGTTCCAGGAAACCTTCCAATAGGTTGTTCTGCGGTTCTACTAGAGCGGTTTAATGATAATAGTGGATGGCTTTATGACTCGAGGAACCAATGCTACAAGCCATTGAACAATTTGGCTAAGCTTCACAATGATAAGCTCAAGAAAGGCCTTGCGGCTCTAAGAAAAAAGTACCCTCATGCCAAAATTATGTATGCTGATTATTACAGTTCTGCCATGCAATTCTTCAACTCACCTTCCAAATACGGTAATCCGACTTCGATATTACTTCCTATCTAGAACTAGTAGACATGTTTCGATATACTTTGTTCGATATGTTTTTTTTTCTTTTTGTAATAGGTTTCACTGGAAGTGTCCTAAAGGCATGTTGTGGAGGAGGAGATGGAAGATACAACGCGAAACCAAGCGTGCGGTGCGGAGAAAAGGGTTCAACCACTTGCGAAAATCCATCAACGTACGCAAATTGGGACGGAATTCACCTAACTGAAGCGGCTTACCGCCACATTGCAACTGGTCTCATCTCCGGCCGTTTCACCATGCCTTCTTATAATAACAATTAATTAACTTATAAGTTGTGATTTAGTTTTTAACAGACAAACTTTTCATATAACTTCTAATTGAAAACCTATAAATTCGATCATTATTTATCAAGCTAGTTCGAGAGCATAAGCATAAAAACTCATAGCTTTGGGCTTCACATTATTAACGACAATTTTGGAAGAAAAAATCTATAAAAATATTTTATTAAATGTAGGGTGAGTTACTCAAAAGGCTTAGTAAAGAGAAAAATTTACTAAAATGGCATGCTTTTGGAGTAATAGTAATATCTTTATTTAAAGGCAAGATTGCCCTCAAGTATGTGTGAGGGGAAAAAAAATATTACAGAATTGCCATTAAATCTCAGCATGAAAAAAGTGGGAAAATGAGAAATGGAGCGGCGGGAAAAAGTAATGGATAATTCTTAATGGCGACAGATTTGTAAGGGTGACAGATTTTTATGGTAGTTTTTATCAAATATAACAGAGTTGTCAGTTTAGTTTGATAAATCTATCGTTTAGACACAGTTGATTTAAGTGAAGATGATAGATTTTAGAACTTGTGGTTGAGTTAATTGGTAGATTTATTTTTAGTTATGACAGAGTAATAGGTAAAGTAGATTTGTTTGGTACACTTTTTTGCAGTTATGGCAGAGTAATTAAAGAAATAGATTTAACTGGTAGACTTAATAGAGGTGATGATACAGTTGTGTTTTAGTAACAGACTTATGTGGTAGAATTAATTAAGAGATTGTTAGTCTGTCAGAAGTGAAGGTAGATTTTTTAATTGTGATAGACTTATTAGTGAATCCCACAGACTTATCCGACAAATTAATTACTAGCGTAACACCTAAGTGATGGGAGACTTAATGTATGTTACGACAGAGTTGTTATTTGTAAAGGTTGTTGCGACAGAGTTTACAAAATTTTAAAACATGATGTGGTGGTAGACTTCAAATTTCTAAAAACGCAATCCATAAGTAAAGTTTTGGTTGATAGAGGTGATAGAGTTATGATGACTCGAGTGATAGATTTTTATGATAGATCTTTTTGATAGATTTTTGTGATAATTATAACTATGTCATAACTATAAATATAACTCTATCATAACTATGTTTGTCATTAATTTGAAAAATATATGTGGATTAAATTTGATCATTTGGTAATTAGCGTTCCCTTACTTTGGTGAGTTGTTGATTTAGTAAATGTTGTTTTTTTTGTTGTGATTGGCTTCACGTGTAAGTAGATGAAAGCTACAAACTAGAAGTGTATACGAAATGAAGGTTAATTTCCTAAGTGTGTATGAAATAAAAATTAGAAACTTCCTAAGAGCATGCCTTGTCATTGTGTGAGTGTACTCCATGATGTTGTCATGTTTGAGCCAGAATTTTGATTTACAAATCAGACAATTTGAACACTAACTAAAGAAAGAAAGAAAGAAATGAATCTTGCAAATAATAGTTTTGGATTCATGTTACATGTCAAAAGAAAAGCTATGAACGGTTCCCTTGGAACTTGATATTAAACATCGGACGTAAAGGTTCTACCAAAGACTCTTCTTCTTCATCTCCACCGTCCTCAAATGATATTTTTCGAATGGATTTGAAATCATTAGATCTAAAACTCGAGAACATATACTCTATTCGCATGTGTTGGCAATTTGCTGACCCAAGCGTGTCTTCTGATGATGTATTTCTCCAATATTCCTTAGAAGAGTTAAAAGGCCAATGATGAAACTTGATCATCCACTTTGCAAAGCATCGTGGACCACAACACAAAGACAATTGCATGGGCATCTCTGTTCGGAAAACAAACTGAAAAACTAATAGATCGATCTAGGCTTGAATCAAATTACCAAATTCAAATCGGTCTAATTCTGGTATTTTTTTTCGAGTTCGGCTCGGTTCAGGTAAGATAATATTCAATCCGAACTGAAACCAAACTTGTAATTTGGTTCCGGTTTTGTGTAAGTAAAGTCAAATTCGTATTTTGGTTTTGCTCGGTTATCAATACAAAATCAAATTACTGTAGTCAGTAGTCACAAAGTACAAATTACAATCCCATCACTATGTTGGCACCTGCACCCTTGAAGAGTGACTTGGCCCCTTCGTTCTTGACGATCTGAGAATTGGGTAAGACACCAGTCCAGCTCCAATGTATAATTACAAACCTTTGGTTATATGTCTCTTGACTTTTTTCTTCAGACTTTCTCGAGCAGCTTTTCAGATTCCGAGCATGTATTTGGGCATGTCACTTGACCATCATACTCATGACTTCCATCACAACAATCTGCTCTCATGGAAAAACAAACCATTATTGGAACCATAAATACTGATAAGCTATAATCCTTCAACAAAAATCTCCTAACAAACAAAATTGTAGCAATCAGCAGCCATAAATCACAGCTAATATTAACTACCAACAAAGAACACTGTCAAGAGCAAAAGTTGAACCGATAGTTTCCAAGCTTCAACAAAGCCCTCATTAGTTTTGTTTCAAAGATCTCTCTTCCACTACGACGTTTACTACACCTCTCTGATGAAAGTAAAAAAATACTTCCAATAGAAATCATCTTTGAAAACCATTATAAATATTTTTAAGTAAGAGACACTACAATTTTTCTACACCTTCGAGCAATACGTAGTTTGTTAGTGAATTAGTGGTGTGAGACTGTTTCTCAATCATATTTTCTCTAAATCTGTAACAAAGATACAACGAAAGTATTAGTCTGGTGAATTTGTAACAAAGTAATGAACCTCCAAAGTATTAGTCTGGTGAATTTGTGACTATCTATAAGCATGATAATTTTAATCCAAAACTAGGTTCAAGACGCCAAAAAAAAGTCGAAAATTTATTTTACACCTCAATTGTGTTGGCTACTTCGTTCCACAAAGAAGATTTACAAAATGCAAAAGCTAGTTACCACTTGCAATAGGCTAAAAACAAACAAAATTTGGAGACAAAGATGAGTGAGAAAAAAAATCAAGGCCCTGCAATTTAGTTTGAATAATATCTCCGATCAACAGAAACATGAGAGATTAGAAAAAACTTACTACAAAGTATCAAGCGGACCCATAATTGAGAAGCTCCATTGGAAAACATCATTCTCATCAACGAACCCAGCTATGAAACCATCTATCGGCTTCTTACACACATCTGAAAAGAAACCAACAAAATTATCTAAACCCAGAAACGAAATTCACCTCTATACTCGAAATCAATCCAATCGAAAGTAAAAGCATATTGAAACAAAATGCCCTAGACGGATTGAACAAGAAAAGAGAAAAGAGTTTTGCTTCTATTTTCTTCCAATCTCGATCGTATATGTAATGAAACAAAATAATTGAGATAATTTCTAAACGATAACACAATAAATTGAGAAATAATCAAAGATATATATACGTACAAGTGAAGAGCTTCTAGAAAATTGTCGTGTTCTTGCTGTGTCCAAGAACTCTAGTGAGAGTTGGGATCTTCGGAGACAAACCAGGACCCTCTTCCGAGTTTCTGGGTTCGAGATCTTGATAAGAAAAGATTTATCCGAGAGCTTAAAAACCGTAATATCACGTAATCTGTTGCTCCAAATGCCGTTTGTGATGGCGTGAAGAGCACCTGGACTAGGAGCATTCCCGTGGAACAGATCTATGATGAATTTCTCCCATCGGTGCTTGTTCCGGATAATGACCTCGTCCGGAATTTCAACACAGAGCTCACCCGAGGTTAAGGTAAATTCCTTTCCTTTCTTCCTCATCGTTTGAGAAGTGCTTTTTACTATATTTACCCAAGACGGCTTATCCAACGCTTCAACATCAGAATTAGCCCCGGAGAAGAGATCGAGTTTCGGATGGCAAAAGAGAATTTTTGGAGGAAGCAACGGAAACTGAGCCGTGAGAGGAAGAGCAAGGAGAGCCCTTAGCCATTGGGTTTGCCGGCGACGGGGGCCAGGGACCGGCGCCAGTGAGAGATCTAGGGTTTACGGGTGGCTCGAGGTTGAGAGAGTTTTCTTTTTATTTGTTTGCTTTTGCTATTTTGTTATTATTCTTGTTATATAATTTCTGCATTTTTTTTTGGGATTTTTAATTGAAAATGGCATGAATTGTAAATAAGGAAATTTTATTGGTTTTAAAGTCTTTTTAAAAACATTTTAAGCCTTTCTAGTAAAGATTTTCTTGACTAAGCCTTTTGAATAATTAGTGGACTTTTTTAAGCTATTTGACGTAATTTCCCTTAAATGTATGAAAAAGGTTCAACTTTTAACTTTTAATAGATCGGTTCTGATTCATATATATGATGTAAAGTCCTGAGATGGAACTCTTTTTGGTAACGAATAAAATAAATAAATAAATAGATTGCATTGCCTTCTCTTTCACTTTTTTTTTTACAAAATTAAGTTAGCAAAATTTCACTGCCCATGCTAAAATATCCACCACATTGCATCTGATCTCATCTCCGGCCGTTTTACCACACTTTCTTATAAAAACAGTTAATTAAATTACTAACTTATTTTGTTCCAAAAAAAATGTACTAACTTATAAATTGTAATTTATTGTTTAACAGAAACAATACGTTCTAATTGATAATGGATAAAATTCAATCATATTCTTATTATTGAGTATATAGGCTTAAGAAATCACTTTTGGCTTTACATTACGAAACAATTGAAAACTCTAAAAAAGACATTTCATCAACAAACTTATGAAAAGGGCACAACCTTTTATTTTATGCAAGCTAAATCGACATAGAAGAAGATTGTATCATGGGTTCGGTAATCTAGGTAAATGACAACAGAAATAATTGATACGAGTGTTAAAAAATAAAATGGCAAAAAGTGTAGATGATATATGTTATATATGTAATTAAGGGTTTAATAGTCATTAACGAAAGGATGCGAGTAAAAATTTTGTTACTTTCTTAAATGAACTTTTAGAAACTATATTTATTTAGCATTCTTTTAGATTATTTAGTGTATATTATCTAATTTTTTATAAGATATGTCTCATTTTTTTAAAAATGTCTCATATTATCAAGTAAAGTTACACAACATGGATATAGACTTTCTCATATTTTTTCTTTTCTTATTGTCACAATTTTATTATGACGCCAAGCTTCT